ACAACAACTAAAAATACTTAAAATTTGATACAAACATTAAACATATACCTATTATGTCGTAGGCATATAGTCAAATCAGGAATTTTACTAAATACCTAGGTAAATAGCCCAGAATTTAATTATTTATGTAATTTTAACATCTACAAGATTGAATGCCTTATTTTAACATGMAATTTCAAATTAGACAAATAATAAAAATGAAACTTTTTATACTATTTTAAAAATTAAACTATATTTTCTAATAATTATTTATTTTTATTCTATTCAAAAAATATGTAAGTATAATTAAAAAATACCTATATTAAATACATCCCGTCTCACAACCAAGCTTATTTGATCTTAAAGACCCAATAAACCCTTTTTAAATAAATATTTAAATTATCGTAATTATTTTTAATAGAATAACAATAAATAATTAATAAAAAAATTTTGTTTGATTTTTAAAATAAAACAAAAAGTTTAATTTGTATTATATTCCTGACTTGAAATAGGCATTTTGTTAAACGTCTCGACATTTAACTGATTAAATGTCTAGGCGAATTGTAAAATCATATAAAAATTAAATTATTTGATTATTTGTAAAATCCTCTATTTAATAAAATGTCTGATTAGACTTTATATGCCCATGACATATATCTAAGTGACAATAAATATTTAGGTTTCTTTGTTATAACTTTCAAGGTTTTTAACTCAAAATTAAAAAAATTTGTCTATTTACTATAATATAATTTACACACGGAAAGATAATATAAAATGTTATTGATATTGTTATTTTTAGAGTTATTGATGATTAAATATTATAAATGTTTAATAGGTAAACTTGGTTGGTATATATGAACTTGGAAATTGTGAAGAAAGTAGTCTTTAAACCGGTAACTTTTAAATTTTATTATGGTTCACTATTATAAAATTGTACAATTAGTTAAATATTTAATTCTAATAAAGAAAGTTATAATATGCAGCTAAAATTTAAGTCAGTACGGAGTAGCATTTTTCGGAAAATAATGCAAAACTAATAATATTTCTGTTCTAAGAAACTATTAATTTTCTTATAATTTATTGTTCAAAATCTTCAGTAAGTTGTTCAATTGTCAATTCTACTGAGTAGGTATATAGTACTAGGTGTACATAATTATTGCTGAATTTCAAATTAAAGTTATAGTCGTCTTTGAGTTTCTAATTCATATAGACTGTGACGTAGCTAGATAGGTATATAAGGTATAACTATAAATATTAGATAGTAGATACATATACATATACATATTATTATTTATTAATTTATTATATTATATAACATATGAATCCATTTACGCTTATTTTCTGTGCATTATCATATTATCATGTATTTATATTTTTATATTTCTAGCTTCCTATAATTTATAAATTCACATATACAACCACGATAATACTGACCTGTATTATTTTACTTAACAACTATCCATCATTTTTTCATTCGTGATATTAAAAATACAATATGCTCTCCTCTCTACGGTTCTTCATTGTTATCTATGGAATTTGGTAGCAACTTGATTATGAATACGACGTGTATTCGTTTCTTAAACGCACTAGACTACTGCAGTTTTAGTTGTATTACTTTTACAACAACTAACTGCGGTTAATGCGATGACCTATACATAGTAGGGGTAATGTCCTCGGGAGAAGGAGAAAAAACTAGGTATTATAGAATTCTGTGCGTTCAATTCCCTTTCACTGAGTGTGCCATGAATCATATTAAAAATTAAATACTAAACGCTACAACACCAACCATAATATGGTAAAAAGATTAAATACTTAACTGGTTATTATAAGAATATATAGCAAAAGTATACCTACCTACTCGTATAATACGATATTAAGATTACAAAATATATTGACGATTTTCCCATTTACACATATACCTAGGTATCTAATAATAAAAATCAGTGATCTCACGCGGATGCAATATATATATTAGTAGGTGCCGATGTCAAGTGTACTTCGTTGGAATTAGCAGGACATAGGTCACCATGTAATGGATGTGTTACATATTAATTCAATAATACATTATTGCATACAACAAAAAACGATTTTGACCAGAGAAGTCAGCCTGTATTTCTAACTTTCTAAAGATATTTTATTTTTTACTGATAATAACTGCCACGGCGACTGGGCCATTGGCTACAATAAATTGTACATAATTATTGATTTAGGGATACATTGTTACACTAAGTAGAATGTAGAAACTTACAACTATATGTCTATATATGTCTATAAAGTTGTATATAATTATTTAAATCCAAGTTACTTTTTACGAGATCAAAATCAATCCTACACAAGTTATCTTCTACCATCAGTTCTATTATACGGATGTGAAACGTGATGGGTAACAAACTACAAAGGATGACGTAAAAAAATTGATGGCATTCATTAGAAAAATACTGCGTCCAATCTTGGAAAATAATTAAAAACGCAATTATAAATAATAAGAATATTTACTAAATGTACCTAGCGCCCAATATCAACGCATTTATAATACCCAAATGTTTGGAATAGGTGTGACATGTCTAAAGTCAAATAGTGGGTATATTATATATATATTTAATATATTATATATAAACAAACAAACAATAGGAAAAGACCTAGAGGAAGATATTGGTGGAGGTGTACGGATACAGTCTAATTAGACATAGGAAATTGTGCATTAGGATCAAGACTAGAGGAGGCTGAAGATAGATAAAGGTGGCAGAAAATAGTTGAAGCAGTGAAGGCCCTAAATGAAGTATAAAAGCTTTAAGAAAAAGAATACCCTATATACGTAAAATAGTATCACATATGTATTACATTTTCAAACATTAAGCATTTATAAACATTAAAAATTGTTTTAAATTCCAACTACAAAATAGGTATAGTTTGAAATTTTTGGTGATTTCAATGAATTTTTTAAAAATTGAAATGCTTATATAGCCTATTATGATTTATGACTGTATTTCGGATATTTTTTGACTGGTATATAAACATATTTTTTTAATGTTCTTCTTTGAATAATCAAATTTAATACTATCTACTATTTATAAATCATACACTAAATCACTATTATTATAGTTTTATCCAATTGTACAAGTGGTTACTTGATCGATGTAGCTAATATGTGTATAATGAGTATAATTTCAAACATAAAATATAAACTGATCTTTTAAGATCATTTAAAGTACCTAGATAATTCTTTTTCAATAGTAATATTTATAGTACACCCTGTCTCTCAAAGTATAATATCGGAATCTGTGCATTTCCCCCCTCCACTGGTCACAAATTTWAAAAAAAGTTATTAAACTTAATAATAATGAATTCTTAAACAATAAGAACTTTTTCGTATTTGTGATATCGAAAAATAAAAAGCAACGTTGCTATATTGAAGATTCTCCTATTTATAGTACAGAAATTTGGTTGATCAGCTTAGATTACAGATGGAGTGGTTCTTTTCTGCGCAAAATAGTTTTTGAAGTGTTTTACATTTGTAAGATGGAAACAATTATTGTGGGTGTAGCGTCCTCTTAACTTAATTACATGAGGTTTGAACAACACCATTTATAGAATTGCAAACAGTTACAGTACAAACCTTTAACAGTATTTAATCTAATGCATTGGACAATATATCTAAGAAATATAATGATTATAACTACTATTTATATATGTATATATATATATCAATAAATTAAAATATATTTCCAGGTTCTACATTTTAAGCAATAAGTAGTGTAAACTATTTAAATTATAGTAAATCTGTATAAACTGTAAAGTATATTTAATAGATTTTGAAGTAAATTTGATTCACAATGTCAGCAAACAGTTTTGTAAAATACTTAAATATTAAGATACATTTTAAGACCTCAGATATGTATTTTAAATATAAATACACACATACACAGAAACATTAACTTTTATTAATATAAAGACAAGTATAATACTTTTAATAGCAAAATATTGATTTCAGTAATGCTATATATCTTGTAGACAAAAAAGAATATAGTTTGTAATAAAATAAATTTGTATACTTGAAACTAAATATAATAATAAGCCCATTGAGATTCCATCGGTAATAACCTTGCCTATAATTTTTATAATAGGTCAATTCACTCTAAATTTCAAATTAACCGAGATAAACGTGATCTGCTGAGCGTAAAGTTTGCTATGGTACGCACTTGTACGACGGAGAAAACACATGAAGGTGCGACGTCCTCTTAAGATTAATTACTATATAATACATGCCATTTATTCTAATTCTAAAGTTATTTTTAACAATATGTTTATTTTACATAAGCTATGTTTAGCTCAATGTGTTTACTATTTTAGATGATTTACTTTATATTGTAAAATATTATTTTAAATTACTTGTTCAAAAATAAGGTCTTGGTTTTTATTCTCCGCCTCCTATAGTTTTATGATGTAATTATACTATCTATTTTACCACAACACTTTAAACTAGATAAACTATGTTATTATAAGTTTATGAATGAAGTTTAAAAGACATAAATAACATAATTTAGCGAAACACACAAATTGGAAACATACATTTGTTTTTTTTTTGTTTATTAAATTCGAATAGTCAAATAGAAAATTATATAAAAAATATATAATATATTACCTTATTTTTATTTATTAAGGCATGAATCTCTATAATTTTGTTTTTATGTTAAAATATATAAATATTTATACAAAATTTTTAAGAATTTTTTTTATAACATCAATTTTATGTTTACTTCTACTTTTATTTTTACTATTATATTTCCTATTAAATTTTGAACATTTTATGATAACAAATTTTATACTGTTATATATATAAATTGGTTTGAATGTGAAAGGATAAAATGTAATTAATTAAACATTGAGTTAATAACAATTATCTCTACTTAACAAGTGTTTAATTCTTAAAGTATAATTTTGTTGTTTAACACAATAAATTAAATTAAAAATCATCTTCATTTATATACATTATTATTTATTAGGTGTGATACAATAGCATCTTAAATATTATATCCTTTAGTATTTTTCAAGATTAATTTATTAACTAATTCTTGATAAGTTGTTTTGTTTTTACATAAGGCAGTCAAAGTTGGTTCGCCGCCAAGATCTCTTAACTCAGTTAATCGTTCCTATAAATTATAAATTCTTTAAATTCATTTATCTTAAAATCAGTTTAACAAGTATTTAAAAGCTGACCTGTAGAGTAGAAATACTGTGAGTAAATACACGCGGAGTACTCAATATATGTGAAGATCTGTATCCTTCTCTGAGAAGAAAATCCAATATTTCTTTTAATTTAGTAGGACTAACTCTCAATGTTGTAGGATATTTTGAACTGATATAGCGAATGGTTTTTTCTGGTACTTTCAGCCTTTTAGCTAAGTATTGTGCAGTAGAGTCTTTATTGAGAACAACTCTATTTTCTTGTTTTATCTCTATTGTCCTAAAAAAGAAATATTTTGGGTTAACTAAATTATATATTAATTAATCATAATTGATACCTTTCAAATACTTCAGTTTTACATCTTAACATCCAAGGCTTAATTTTTAAATTTGGTGCTTTAGTAAGAGAAATTCTATGTTTAATTTGATCAATGCTGTACATAAATATCCAAGTATCTTTCCAAATATCATTCTTATCAACATTATTTTCTTAAAAAAATGTATAAATTAATATATATTATTTAATTAACATTAGGAATTACAAATTACAAATTAAAAGACTTAATTATAGGCATCGAGTAGTTGACTTCCTTGGAAGTGATAATTTTTAAATGCTTTGAGATTTAGTAGATAAATAAGTACTCGTATTTTAGACTAAAAATATTAACATTCTAAATTCTTACATCATAATCTTTAATCGGTATAACTTTATTTATTAAAAAGCATAATTTATTTTTTATTTTCATAGAATTAAATTAATTAATTACCAATCAAAATTTGATAGATGTGGTTAAGTGTTGTAAAGTTCCGTGTGAATAAAAATTTGTAATGCATCAAATGGTAACATACTTCTTGAGGATTTTTCTAAAAATATAGATTATTGTTCATAACTAATCGATAAGTTATTGTTATGAAATATAATTCTGATTTTATTTATTATTCATATACATCCAAAATACAGGTTTAGTATTTTTCGATAAAAAATTTAAATGTATAAAAAAAATTTAATTATATTTTAACTTTTATAAAATCACAAAAAATATGATCTTTATTTTATTACATTTTATCACACTGAATGTGTAGCATCATTTCATCTCACCATAGGACTATATGAGCTATCCAGACTTAGGTGTAAAAATTGAACAATTTACACATTTTTGTCTTTTATGATTTAGACTAGGGGTGGCCAACTGGCCAACCTTTATTTATATTGTGCAAAATAAAAATTGAGAATGAGGCATAAAAAATTAATACTTATTATCTACTTTACAATACCTAATATAATATATTTATTTTTATACATAAATTTGTGTCCCTACAATAAATGGATTAATACATAATTAGTATGTTATACTATTATTTATCCTTATTAATATTATTTTGTATAATTAAATATTTGCGACTTTTATGATTTATTTAAAATTGGAAACCATAATTTTAGAAATATTTAAAATTTATAAGTTATTAGTTAGCGTGCCACAGGTTGGCCACCTATGATTTAGACAAATGTTTACAAAATTCTAACTTTATAACGCTTATAAAAAGCTTATGAATTTTTGATAAATAAATTAATATATATACAATTTATAAGGAACCCTGTTTATGATTTTTAGGATTTCCACCAAGCAATATTATTTATTGACATTTATAGGGAAAAAAACATCAAATGTCTATATATATCATTACATTAAATAGGTACCTCAAAAGAAAAATAATTTTTTGAAAATTATGTTGTGTAAATAAAATGGTAGTATAAATATTTGGTCAACATTTCTACAATTATTCATTTTTGACTTACACTAAATTAACAATTTCAGTTTTGTCAAATTTTTGAGTAAAAATTCTTGTTTCAATATTTTTTTTCTCAGTTACTTTTAAGAATGTTAGATCATACTTTTTAGATCCTAAGATACAAACTATATCCAAATTGCAGTAACTTGAAAATTTAAAAATTTTTAAATTTTTAAAAGTTTCTGTCATAAAAAACAAAACACCATTGTAAAATCAATAGATGCTTGTAATTTATAACAAAGATGATGTATACAAATTAAAAATTAATTATAAATAAGCATAAAATATATCCATTCAAACCTCGAAAGTAGATGCAAAATAATAGACTCTGTTTCCATGTGGCACAATTTTTGATTCTAAATGGGTTTTTTTAGTAAGATATACAAGTTTTGCCATAGGCATTTGAAGGAGTACAAACAAATCATCTATCTTTTTAGGATTCCATCTTTTAAGTAATGTCAGTCCATTACTTAAATTATCTGAAAAATAACAATTAAAACCATTATAAACAAATTTTTTTTATAATACTATTGAATTATGTAGATACAACTTCAACACTATTCAATTATTTATCAAATAACTGAACAACCCAATGGTACAAAAGTGTATATTTACAAACCCCAAATTCGAATTATTACAATATTACCCTACCTTAAGTATGTCTTCTGTACCATTAATATATTTTATACTTACATTTCATACTAGTCAAAGCATTGCCCCTACCATCGTATACCACTATTTCAATTTTAAGAAGTATACCACCACTGAAGTTAAAATGTGAAGTAGTTTTAAACACCCATTAAATTTTCTGTGACGTATGATACCAATAAAACCGAATTCATGCATTTAAAAGTATAAATAATATTGAAATAAAAATTAAATATTAGAATGATTATGATGATTGAATGGTGAGATTTTTTTTTCTTKTCTAACATACATGCAACATAAGATTTAAGTCAGTTAAGATAGATATGTTTAATTTACTATGCATCAGTTTATCTAGCAAAGCAAAAAGAAATCTGAAAACAGATTTAAATTTCAAGTCGACTTAAGATTGAATTTTCCACATTTTTATACTGTCCCCCTAAAGGCCAAAATCAAATAAATGTTGGACTCATTAAAAAAGGTACTTATCCATTATTTTGACCACCACCTGATGACACAACTACAGTGCCATAACGTAAAACATACAATCATTAGGTATATACAAATTATTTAAAAATTTATCATAGGTTATAAAATCAAATATTATCATGGCAGCGGAGAGTTAAATAATAATAAAAATTTACTTTCTTCAAATGATCTATACCAAGAAAGTACTCTTAATTATGGATTTAAATAATAATAATAATTATTATTTAAAATAACATGAACATGATTTTTATTTCTCAGAAATTTTTTGGTAAATTCCAATGATCCAAATGTATTATTAATATGGTAAATACTTAATAACAGTATTGTGACCAGCAATAGTCATGGAATTGGGGTGGTAGTCGAGATAACAGAATTGAGACTCATGGCAATCGGGATAACATAAATGTACCAAAAAATATTGATTATTGTACGTCATTACTTAAGTGAAGCATTTTTATGATCTTACTTACTGATATTCATTTTGAAAATCCATTCATTACTAAGAACTGCATAAGAAGTGAGTCCGTTTTTAATACAACAGTTGAATTTCTCAAGATGGTCTGAATTACAATTTGTTTTAAATTGAACTTCATTTTGCTTTTTATCAACCATTGTGCTTAGATATTTTCTTAATTTAATAGCATTTGAAAATTTTAATGTCTTTAAAAAAATTGAGACTAACATTTTGTTGTGTTGTATTCAACAATAATTGGATATTTAAGTAAATTATAAGTTGAGCATCGTAAAAATAAAAACAGAGTACCTAATTTAAAATAGTAAAAATATATCAATATAAATTTAGATAAATGTGGAAAATTGGAAAGCTAAGTTCAAAACCAAATAAAATAAAAATATGAGTCTCATTCTCTCATTATCATAGTACTATAGAAGTAGATATTATAACAATATAAAATTTAAGAATTGTGATAACAATATAAATATCATAATATCTATATTATGTTGATAAGGTTTTTTATAAGAACTATTGCTATTCAATATATTTTTAGAATCCAAGTGATAATTTGCATTTTTTACACAACCATACTTACTGTATAAACAGTTGGTTTTAATTAAGGCTGTGAATTTAGTCCATCGAACAAGCAAACAACCTTAGAATCTTATAAAATACAGTGAATCGAGGTATTCTAATCTATGAAGTGAATAACGCATTATAATACCCGTAATAAATCTTACAATGAACTAAAAAACCTTATAGGTAAATGTATTAAAAACGCAAAATAATCAGTAAAAATACCACGTAAACATACTAAAGAATCATAAATTAAAAAACAGGTAAGTGGGTAACGTTCTGTTGTACATCAGATGTCCAGAGGATCACTGTAATTTATGTGTTAATTTTTGATTCAACAACCAATAATCATTAAATAGGTACATAAAATGATTCTAGGCGAAGATGATCTGTCAGACTATAAATTATGATAATATGAAGTCAATTGTATGTTATGATTGTGATTATTGTAATTTATTTTACAATTAGGCATTAATACTAATAAGTAATAGTACTACAGTGGGTTTGATAAAGTTTGAACTATACAATATTGTAAAGGAAAAATCGTGTCTATGRATGTTTAATAATTATCAACTGCTATTATAACAACGTCATTTGTAAAGAAACTTGTATTTCATTTTTGAGCCTTTTAACCCAACGAACACAATTTTTATTGACATTTATAGATTAAGAAAACTAACAAATTTACATTTAAAATGTCTAAAAACAATTCAAAACAAATTAAAATATTTTCATTTATGGAAATTATAAAATAAACATTATTTGACAACAAATTCCAAGTACCTACCTAATGTTAATAGTTTTTTACAAGAAATGTTAAATTACATTTTCACGTTTTTTAACCAAGGAAACAACTATTTATCGATGATAATTAAAAAAAAATTTTGAATTTTTTTATATTTTATCCAAATAAATAGCTCAACAAATATCATAATATTTTGAAAATTTTATGATTAATATTGAAATTGCTTACATAAATACTCAATGAAAATGTCGTGAATCAAATGTTTTTTTTAGAGTTACACTTAAAAACAAAATTAATTATTTTCGTAAACTGGTTTTGCGTAATAATCAGTTTTCTTTTAATATTTTGTTTATTTTTCCAGCCACTTTTTAAGGCTATTGGACATAATGGACATTTATTACTTTTGGCCCCAATAGGCCTAAAGTACCTACCAAATAGATTCGTTTTCCTATCAGAAGATATGATATTGAAACTTTGAAAGAAAAAGAAGCATTTTCATTTCCCAAATTGGCATGACTGATTCACAAAAAAACATACATCTTTGTAAAATCAATACATTCATCGCTCCGTTTAGAATCTTAAATTTATATTAAGTTTAAAGCTAAAAGTTACTTTTCTTTTTAAAAAACTTGTAAAAATTGGTAATTAACTAGATAATTAAAGTAACTTCTAATATATTAGTTAAAAAATTTAGTAAATCATATCAAATAAAATAAAAATATATTCCTTATTTTAAATCTAACAACAACAAGTAATTTAAATAGAGCCGTTACAGTTTTAAATTAATGTTTGTATTAAAATTAATTGTTGTTAGTAGGTTGGTACTTATTTATACTTTTTATAAATACTGTAATCAATCTATGATATCGACAAAATAATTATTTTTATATATTTGTTTACCCTTTGGTCTACAACAGCTATAATATTATGCTGTACTACATTATAATTAATTATTATTTAAATTACCACGCATACTATAATATCGAATATCATTGAATCAGTTGTAGTTCTAATAATAATATTCTAATAAAATAATAAAAATTACTTATAAGTAAAAGTTTGGTAAAAGTTATTAATCATGGTATATTGGTACACACTAAACTGAGTAATATTTTCTTTTTTTAATGATGCTGTAGCTCTATCACTTTTCCGTTTCTTTAATATAATATATGATTAAAAATAAAATAAATTATAACAATTATAAAAAATAACCGAACGTTATAATAATACTAATTAATTGATAACGTGGAAAAAATAATGTAGGTACTCGTTAAATTAMATCCAAGAAAAAAAGCTACTTGTTAAAAACTTTTAACTTAGTTAAAAGTAACTTAATTCAATTTTTTAACTTGTTAATGCCTTGCCTTTAAATTTTGTAGGCCACAGGCCACATAATATGAGAAATCATTCCTCATAAAATCAGGTACTAACTATAAATTTTACCATGACATTATAGTATTATACAATATTTTATGGATGGAGGCAATGGAGGCTAATACGACAAAGCATATATTATTATTATCAAGGGCAAGGACCTTACGAACATCATAGATCTTATACTCTTACCTTATAAGGTCTATGACGAACATTGACGTATTTACGTTAATAATATTGTTGTGACAAATTGGTTAGTTTAGTATCCATGTTGATACCGTAGTGTTTGCGTCGTCAACGATACAAAAAAAACGATAACAAAATGTGCTATCACTTTTTATACAAGTTCCCTTGGCCTCGTCAACGTCCAACTTATATAATATCTCCATGGTGATGCGTGACGGGAAGCGTTGGGAACAACAGCATCCGCCATCCGTGATTGTTTATAATATTTTTTTCGTGTCTGCAAATCGTCGTCCGCTGGTCGGATCATTTACAAAGAAACTATCTTCTACTTTATTTTATAATAATTATATAACAGACATTTTTTATTGAATTAGTATAACATATTATTATTGCGTCGACATACTTAATTTACAACTGTTCTCTATTTCGTACTTATTATTATTGTTCATTATTAATATTATTATAATTATTTAATAATAGGAATTATCTTTATTACTACAATTTTTCTTTTATTTTAAATTTTTTTACTCACATTTTTAATACCTATCCTAAATTCTTAACAGTGTAAATATTTGTGTTTGTGTCCCTTATTTAAGTTTTATGGTATTTATCATCTAATTTTGAAATAAAATCGTTGAAAATGTTCAAATTGGATTCAGTTCAGATGCCTCAACAACTTAGTCAGGCTGCACACGACCGTGAGAAAGTATTTCAATGGATTGTCGAACTGTGTAATACTGAAACCAGAGAAAACGCACTTTCTGAGCTCAGGTAATTAGAACTTATGTCAATAAAGTAATGTATTGTCAAATTTCTGCATAGTATTGTTCAAAGTTGTAGTGCTAAAAGGTACATCTAAAGATTAAATGGTCACAGAACACAATAAGTACCAATGATAATATAGGTATCATAGGGATCTTTAAGAATTTGAAATAGTTTGGTTATTTAGTTTAAATATAGTTGTTTCAGTTAGGTTTTAAACTCATTATCATGCTTATACATTTTGTGTGATTATTTTAATATGATTTATTTACTAGAAAAATAAAKAGTATAAAATAATATTAAAATAAACTAAATACAATAAATAACTATGTCAACCAATAATTTAATATTGTATTCCTATAATACTTTTCATAAAACAAAATTGTATGACATTCATTTAAACATGAATTTTCCTGTACTATTATTTTTCTAACTTTTCTTATATACTGTCTCAAAAAAAAAAACACTTTTTGCACATTGTGAATGATGTGATTAGTGCCTCGAAAACCAGTTGATCACCCTAACACCTATAACTTAGTAAAAGATGTGCAACACTGACGTAAATCGCTCAATTGCAGTGGCATAATTAGGAATTTGTCTTGGGG